TGCAGCAGGGCCAAAGGCTGAATAAATAATCTAACAAAATTATGGGACACAGCCAGGTCTGGTGGCACACACCTGTAACCCAAGCCCTTCGGAGGCTGAGGCAAGAGGACTGCCGCGGGTTCGAGGCCAACTTGGGCTACACGTGAGCTCAAAGCCCGCCTGTACTCCTTGTCACAAAAACAACTTTTTATAAAGGCACACAAAATCTCCTACTTTTCAGCTTTAACATGAGATATACACTAGTCACTGTGCTCATCTAAAAAACATGACTGAAAATTCAATTCTAAGTCACTGCTTATCAAGTCATATAAAATCAGCAACACAAAATCTATAGGACTACTAGTAACACCAGTAAATAGACCAACAGCTGGCTCTGGGTCTCTGATCAATATCCAACATACATTTAACAAAACTAATAATGGAAGACTGCCTTTAAATTGTTATAAAGGGGGGCCACAGAGACGGCTCTGTAGAATAAGCGCTTGCCTGGCAAGCACAAGGGCCTGAGTTCAATCCCTGGTTCCGGGGGGAAAAAAATTGTTATAAAGGAAAAAGAACAAAAAAATGAATTGTTATAAAGGTAAATGGTTGCAATCTTATGCTGAATTATCTTTACTACTAAGGCTGGCTACTGGAAATATACCATAAAGATTACAAGAATATTGGCACTAATCCTACTACATAAATCTTGACAATACTAATCTGGAACCATAACGTAGGAATAGCAGAAGTAGTCTGAGCCGATTTTTCCGCAGCATGAACTTTTGTTCCAGCTGATAAAGGTGCGACTCACTTCTGTGTGTTTCTGATGGGCCACAGAGACTGCCTCGGAATGCTTTACTGCTCAGATTCTGCAGGTGCAGCTTATTACTGCTTTAACAAAACAATCTCATAGTCAGGTTTTCATAGTGGCCCGAGTTACTCAAAACATGACCCAAGTGCTCAGAGAAATACAACACTACGGACCCAGACATGCTGTCTAGTTTGAAAACAAAACAAAACAAAACAAAAAGGCACATCTTCACTATTCAAAAGTAATGTGGATGCCTTTCCATCATACCAGGCATCAAAATCAAAGGTGTACGGAAGATCCACAGGGCAGGACTGAACTCAAAGAATGTGGAGAAGCAGCTAAGTAATCAACATTGAAAGAAACAACTAAGCATAAAATAAAACTTCGTGGGACCGGGGAGATGGCTCAATGGAATAAGCGCTTCCCTGGCAAGCGCAAGGGCCTGAGTTCAATCTCCAGTTCTGAAAAAAAAAAACTTAGTTTCCACATTTTTGCCACTGGAGAAAAACATGGTAAGAACTTACCCTTTGAGATACAAAGTTAACTGCTCAACAGCCTTTGAAAAGAACCACAATGCCATATGTGAGGCAACGAATAGCTAGCTCTGTGCTGTTATGTGAGGAATTGTGGCTCAGAATTGCAGCTCGCCTCGACCAGCACATGTGTGCTTTAGAAGAAAGAAGGCAGTCTCAGGCCATGTTCAAAGTGGTTGACCCCTCTGAGCCATGTTCAAAGGCCTACAAGTTCTGGCATGCCCAAGAGACCTACGATAATTGCTTTTCAGATTTCCCATTAAGACTCAGACACATAGCTCAGCGACTTGGCTATCACTAAGGGTCATCCCTAAAACACAACAAGCACCTCCCTTAACACAAACAGCATGAGGCCACTTTAATAATAAACGTTACTGAAGGGTTGCCCAGGGCAGGCCTGTGGGGCCTTGGTTACCAACAGCGAGCGGGCCTCCCAGCTGCTGAGAGAAACACTGGATGTTCTCGCTCACACTAAATAAAATGTCCTGTGTCACAAGTCGCCTGCTTCCAAGACTCTCTGGAAACAGAATAAAAAGTTCCACGTATGATGACATTATTCTGATCTCACGAGATCTCCTTTGCTCTACACAGTGTGGAAACACACCACGGAGTGTTTCACAAGAGCAGATGTTAGAAATTAGAGGACAGGAGTAAAAGAATCAGCACTTTAAAACTTCTAGGAGAAACAGAACTAGATTACGTCATTACTCACAACCAATTGCAAGTCCTAAATTTATTTATATAACCACTGAGCTTTTAAAATATTTTTAATTTTTGCCATGGTATACCTACAGACCAGTTCTTGACATTTACCACATAGTCACAGGTTGCAATCATGCAGATAGTTCTTAAAAGTCCAATACCCAGGCTGGGTGTGGTGGTGTACATCTGTAATCCCAGCATTCAGGAGGCTGAATCAGGAGGATCACTGTGAGTCTGAGACCAGCAAGGGCTATAAAGTGAGTTCAAGTCCAACCTGAACCACATAGAGAAACACTGTCTCAAAAAGAGATCCCAAAGGGGAGGGCATCCACCTTCCACTCTCAAGAGGACAGTCAGCCCTGCAAGCGCACAACTTTGATATAAGACATTGGCTTCGATGCTACAGCGAGCACAGCAACGCAGAAAGTGCAACAAGCAAGGCAGAGGGCCGGCCAGATAGCTCAACAGGCTACAGCGCCTGCTTAGGCAGAGTGCAGCGGCCGGGGTTCCTGCCCAGGGCGCCCCACCGGCCCTGCCCAGGATGTACTGAGCTGGCAACTGAGACCCGGTGTGGGAGTGTCTCCTGCAATCCCAGCGCTTGGGAGGTTGAAAACAGGAGGATCACTAGGAGTCTGATCTGTGCGGTAAGACCCTATAGACACTGTACTAAAATACACACACACACACACACACACACACACACAAAGGAAACACAGGCCGAGGAAGTGCCATGCTTCCCAAGAAAAAAGGGGAAAGGCTTTGATGGAACCGTTCAAATAACTGCTTGCTAAATGAATGAATCTTGACAAGGAGGATTATCCAAACCAGAGTACTCATAAAATTGCTCTATTAGAAAAACACAACAAGATATATAGCACATATGGTAGCTTATGCATCTCAGCGACAAGTACAGTGGAAAATACCAACCAGACCTCCCTAAGCCTTCAACAGTCTCCCTTTTTAAGGAATTTTAAGTAATACAATTATATCTAACTAGAAGTCTGTTTTCAGATAAATTTAACAGTAGAAAAATCTAAACAGTGACAACAAGAGTGTGATTAAACAACAAATGGAGTAAAAAGGTGGCAGATGATTAAAACCCAGATTATAGGGGGGCCAAGACATAGTGACTGCCGAAAACCAGTCTGAGGAGGTTCACGACCACATTCCTGGAGCTCAGTGAGCCTGGAGGACAGACGTGAAGCAACACACTTCCAGTCTTAGAGTGAAAAGCAGTTTCTTTAGTCCAAATCCCAAAAGCCAGTAGTAGTGTCTCATCTACATTCTTCACTAAAACGCAAATCCACTCTTCTTGGTATGTTCTGCTTCAAGTGTGTGGTTTGTGGTTTATGAAGGGTCTGTATTGAGACACAGAGGTTAATGCCAAACGAGTCTTGGGGTTCCAAGTCATGAGAAAGAGACAGCCTGAGCGACACTTTGATCAAACTCTTGGTAGGAAACGGGCGCCTGAAGGACGGGACGGGTGCCTCGGCCTTGCATCAGACGCCCTTTCTCGTAGGAGGACCTTATGCAGACCGCCAAATCTCTCACGTCTCACCACATGGCAGTGACCTTCTCCTGTGTATTTTGTTTCTTACTTTTACGATTCTGTCAGATAGTAGTAATTTTCTTACAATATTTTTCTTTCTCTTCTGGTCTTCTTAATTATTCAAAAAACCTGCTTGTTCTCAAGAAACAAACTGTCTAGCACAAAAAAATTTTATTCCCTCCTCCAAGACATACTCGTCTAAATTAACAAGGATGTCAAGGTTCATCTGACTGCTGACCGGCTACCACATAGACATTAATATACACACTGAACCTACCTGGGGAGGCTGGGAACCGCCCGGGCACTGCACACTCACGGCATCACCAGCCCTTCTGTGCTCATTGCAAGTCCTCCTCCCAGTCATCATATTCATAATCATCGTGGTAACACTTATTTTGCACACTTATTTTTCATCAACAACAACGCAAAATGCAAGCCCTGGTGCCACTCAGGGCGCAGGGCAGCTGTTCTGCCTGCTTTAACCCTAGACATACCCCGTGCGCCTTTCACAGGTGAGGACACTGAAGCTCGGAGCAGGTCAGCGCTTCGCCCAGGCTTCTGCAGCTTCAGGCTCTCCGAGCGCTTAGCAACCACCTACTTAGAGCTGAGGTACAGCGATCACCAGCATCACCACAGCTGGCAAAACAGATTCTGTCTCCCACACAGCTTTCAAAAGTGCAGGACCAGAGCCGGCGAAATAGCTCAGCGGATAAAGCGCCTGTAAGCAGGCCCAGGGGCCAGGGGTTCTATCCCCAGGCCTGCTGTTCTGGCCCCACCCCTGGGGCACGCTGAGATAACAATTGAGACTGGGCATGGTGGTGCACCTGTAATCCCAGCTCTTGGAAGGCTGTAAACAGGTGATCACTACGAGTCTGATCTAGTAGTGAGACCCTGAACACCCTGCAGACCCTAAAATTATTAAAAAAAAAAAAAAAAGTGTGCAGGAGGCACTAAAACCAGAAAGTTACAGACAACTTCAGCTTCCTGAAAGCGCCTCCATATGCCACACTTCTATCTATTCTCAGAGATGTCGGGCTCACCCTGGCTCTCCCAGAAGACTGGCTGGGAGCTGCTTTCCTCCCATCCGCCAGCTGGGTGCCACTTTGTCCCCTGGGTCCCACCTGTGGCCTCAGAAATAGGGATGTGATCTCAGTCTCGGGATCTTACGGGGTTGTCCCAGCCCTGCTGGGAACTGTGCCACCGAAGCAACAGGAGGCGACACAAACACTCGCCAATCAGGACAAATAAGCATGAAATGGAAAGGGGGACTCAGGTTTACCATTCTTCAGAGACGACGGCTGTGGAAGTCTTCCTCCTGGTGTTTGATTTGGTTTGGGTTCTTTTGGTTTTTGTTCTGCTTTTTTGGAGGGTAAAGAAAAAGTCAGCACCCCTTTATTTCTGTATAATGTAACAGCCGCTATACCTGAAGGGGACATAGGGCGGCGCTGAGCCGGACAGTAGCGCTCGGTAGGCCTCTTCCGGCGTCTTCTTCAAGTAGATCACCTAGGACAGATAAGCAGGGACACTGTCACCACAGAACGACACAAGCTACTTTCACAGTTATCACAGAGCTCACCGCTGGCTGTCCAGGGATCCCAGGGCCGTGCCCTGAGCTCCACCTGGCCCTTTCTTAGTTCTTACTTGAAGACTGGGCTCAGACTTGTCACCCTCCAGTTCAGCCACACACTTTCCTGTAGGCAGTGGCCCAGGGACCAAACTTCCTTTTAAGCTTGCAGCTCATCCCACCCAGGCGGCAGGCAGATCCCCAGGCAGGGCGGGACATGGCTGGGACCCTCAGGTGGGGGACCCTCGGGTCTTCCCAGGTGACCCCCCAGGAGTGAGCCTGGGCCTACTGCCCCCCACACGCCCCAGGGCACAGGACACCTGCAAGGTCTGGGCAAGACAAGGGGCGGGGCCAAAGCAGCTGAACTGGGTGGCATGGTAAACCACAGGAAAGTCTGTTTTTCTTCACATACCATTTAATATTTTAATTCTGATCTGCAGGCATTGATTGTCTTCACCCATAGCTGAATTAGTTCATTCCTAACTCTCTGCCTAGAACTGATGACCCATTTCCCTGGGGTCCCTACAGCACAGCCCTTGAATCACAAGGACGGCACTGTCCCAGTTGTCTGTAAGTAGGGTTTCCCCCCATGCACAACGCCTCTGTAGGGTGTGAGCTACTGCATCCTGCTAGCAGGATAGCGTGCACATTTACTTATTAACAACTGCAGGACTAGAGAGCACTCCAACTTTGAATTCTCTGCAGAAATAAAATTAATAGATAAAAAGTACGGCAAGTTTTAACAACAGGCCCAGGTTCACTCGGCAACAAAGGTCTGCCGGGGCACGCACCCACCGAAGTGAACTGAGTACCAAACAAGCTGCACATGAGCTGAAGTCCTCATCAGCAAGCACCACTGAGCAACACACCTATCATTCCACACGCTGGGAGACTGAGGCAGGAGAATCACAGGTTCAAGCCCAGCCGGGGAACAATGGCGTAGTAACACGCTGCCTCAAAACAAAAGCTAACACTAAGAAGGAGCGAGGAGCCACCCAGTGCAAGGGTGCAGGTCCAACCTCTAGCACTCCAAAACAGGACCACAAATACAGAAAAAAGCCAATCTAGTCTCAAGGCACAGACTCCAGACAGCATCCTGACTCCAGCTGCAGCTCAGATAGTTACAAAATCATTCTGAATCAGCCCCAGCCTTGAAGACCATTTGCAGCACCAGTACCACAACACACTTTTACTGCACCCGCAGGGCAGATCACACGCAACAGAGCCTGTTCCAAGATGCCCCTTCCCAGCCCTGAGGAGCGGCAGCACTGGAAGGCGAGCTCTGGCTGCTCTGAGGACAGCTGCTGCCAGAGCGAGTTTCCGTGTCTGGGTCACAGAATTAAGGCTCACACAAACCGCCTTTGAAAAGCTCCCTCCTCGGGAGCAATTACATTCATTCTCTCCAGTTCTGCACCGGTTCGGCAGGAGGTGTCGCCAGCCCACAGGAGACCTCCCTGGACTGGTGACCCCAGCAGGCTCGCGCCTCATCTTACCGGCATGACTTAGCACACATGACCGTGTGTCCTCACATGGGAAGAGGAGAGAGAGCCTTTGTTTTTATTTTTATCCCAGTGCTAAATTATTAATAAGTGCAAAGTGAAACCCAACAGGGGCATCTAAATTCCAGGCAGATTCCCAGGTATCTGTTACAGGCTGACCTTTTGCAACCTGAAGGTAGGGACTTCAGAAGGGTGGGGAAAGTTCTCCTGATACATGTGTGCTGTGTCATTACCACACAAGTGGCCGTTCTCCTACCATCTATGCCTGGCCAGATCTTAGATATACCTCTGGGGGTGGGAGTAGGTCTGACGGAATCGACGAAGGGAAGTAACAGTTAATAAGACTGGCTGTCAAGTAATCGAAAACTCAGACCTGTAAGGAACTTTCCAAATTCACACTGCTGTTCCACGATGGTGAAGAATTTGAATACATATCTGACTCCAAACATCTTGAGATAAGGGCTCTTCTAGATTCCTAAATGTCATTATGCTTGCTTTTAAAAATTAGATTTCAAATTACTAAGAGTAGTTATGCCTGAGGAATTTGGCTGGGGAAGGACCGAAGGGAGAAGGGAAAACTGCTGCTCTGTGCTGTCACTATTTTGTACAGTCATGTGCAAATGTGTTTTAGGTGTAAAGTAACTAAATCTAAAATAAAGTAGCTTTGTAAAGTAAACAAAACATTAAAAGCATAAAGTCTATCATAGCCAAAAATTTGTTACCAGACTTCTTATTTTTTAGCACCAGGGACTGAACTCAGGGCCATTACACTGAGCTACGCCTTCAGCCCGCTATTTCTTGTTTCTGGCATAGGGCCTAAGGTGCTAGTTGCCCAGGTCGACTTCGACTTGCAATCCTGCTTCGGCCTTCCATCGCCAGATATTCTAGTATTTCTTAAAAACACAGAAAAGTGACAGCACGGCAAGCCAGCCTGTTTACCAATAAGCCAGTGCTGCTTAGATCTTAATGAACAATCACACATCGGCTCTCTCAACACGCCCACACACCACCAGCAGCTGCCGTAGTCACAGTCTTGTACTCAAATCAATTTGATGTGCATGTTTCACAACATGCTATAAATGGAAAGCCTGTCACTGAATCTATACATAAACCAACATTAAAATATGTAACACTTAAAATTTTAAATGTTTGTATATATACAACACACTGACAACGTATCAAGTATTAAATTTATACTAATTTTATGGACAAATATCAAACCAAAGTGAGAGATTAAATAAAATCTTCCTAGAATTTGTCTACAAGTACATAGTTCTGAATCTGTTTTAACTGACTCAATCCTATGGTTGTGACATCCTTAAGGAGTACAAAAAACTGTGTGAGAGAGATGTTCAGAAGCATCTTCCAATTACAACTCTGCTTTGGTACCTGGCTAATTTAATCTCCCTGATACACAAGCTGTGACTCTTAAAACAACGAACGGCTTAATACAGAAGCCCACTGCAGGCTCTGAGTCATGAATCTGCTAGTGGTCTTTCCCTGGGGACATTTGCCTCCAACTTCACTACATATTTTTAGCTTGGTTCTTAGGTGCTGTTCTTTCCGCAAATAAAAGTTTTACTGTGAATTACAACACAAATATATGCATTACATTCACCATACATATATTTTAAAAAGAAAACTCTGTCCCTGTGTTAACTGTATTTATTCATTGCAATTTGGAAAGTAAAAATCCTCTGGAGGATTTAACTTGGCCTTTTGAGAACAGATTCTTCAATTTGGGCAGCTGATTTCCTGCTATTTTATTTAATGTTTTGTTTAAAAATGAGGAAACAAATGCTGAGGACCGGCTCTGCCAGCGGGGCACTGCCTCTGCAGGCACCTGGTGTAACAGATCCAACGTGACGTTCCAAGCACTGCGGAATCAGTCATATTTCTTCCAAACAGTACTTTCCAGAAAGCAGATGTTACAACCTGAAAGCAGCCTAGAAGGATTAAGACTCACCAAACACAGAAGACATGCCAAAAAGGAGAGGCTGCCTCTGACCTCTCAGACCAGGTCTTGCATGCCCAGAGGACTAAGCTCAGCGCCGCCAGCACCAGCAGCGCCGAGCGCTGGGCTCCGCCCTTCACTGGCGGTCCTGTGCCCTCTCGCCGGCCTCTCTTCGCTCCACCATCTTCATCAAATCAATGCCCAGACAAGCTCTTCTCCACTGTCTCCTGCTACCAGGGAGGACCCAGGTTATGGGCCTGGAGCACATCATGTGGGGACAAAAGGATACAAGTATCTTTTCAAATCATACAGCAACATCACCACCAGAACCCACAGTGGCCCGAAATGCAGCAGAGAGGCTCCGACCCAAGCTTCCTGCACTCCTCAGGGAAGGCGCGCCCCGGGAGCATCCTCTACACCCATTTCAAACCCACCTCACGCTCTGAAGCAGACACCACTTCTCTCCACCACTGCTTCTCCTGCCCACTACAGAAGTCAGCTTTCTACATCCAAAGGGGCCAGATCCTAGGGCTCAACCAGCAGCAGACCGAAAGTATTTGGGAACAACAATAACAAGAAATGTAGTAGAACAATAAAAAACTAAAAACTTCAAAATTTATATAGGATTTAATTATGCTAAGTATCACGTCTAATCTAGGGATGCAGCAAGTATGCACGGGAGGGGAGCCCCAGCCAGGACGCAGCTCTGGGGAAGGGCACCCGGCCGTGCTGCCAGCCTTTCCTCCGCTGTTTCCAGGCGAGCCCTCCCTGCCACCCTGCACCTGCTGCCGCCTGTGCAGACGTGACACCTTCTGGCATCTGAGGCCTTCTTCCCGGAATGCTGCGCTTAGCACCTCTGCCTAGTAAAATTCCTCCCGCTTCATTAGTTGGCTCACGAGCTTTTCTTCTGTCAGCCAGCACAGGACCTCAACGACCACGGGCTCTGTGCGCCTTCTGTTCTTCCATCTCAGAAGGCTTTCCCTACTCCTCAGATGCCAGAATACAACACGTGACTCTACGACTAATGGGCATGATGATGACAATGACAAAATCAGAAGGCCAGAAATGTCAGGCACTTGCACACCTCGCCCTAGCCATCCTCAGAGCACATGGAGAAACAGCTGCTCGAGGTCACGGAGCTGGCCACAGTGGGGCTGGGCAGCATGGGGCTATCACGGATCCTGGGGCCACTGTGTGGTGCGCCTTTCGGCTCTGTGGCAGTTATTCTCCTCTATTCTCAAGCATGAAGCTCCTGGAGTCAGGGGCCAGGTCTGCCCACCCTTCTGGGCCTTCCAATGGCTCCACCAGATCTTCAGGAAATGAATGCTTCAAATGCATGGGGCCCGCAGGAGTGCGTCTTCTCCAGAGGGTTACTTCAGCTTAATTAATAACTAGAAAATGAGATTTTAAAAAAGGGAGAAAAAAAGGTGTCACTGCAGCTTAGTGGCAACAGCAAGGCAAGTGAAAAAATCAACTTTCTGGGCCC